ATAATCAAGATTGGAATAAAGTCATAAAACGACACCGAAATATGTCAACCATTTCCTTAAATGGAGCATTGGCCACCACTTTCAAAAGTTTCCAGATTATGCCCAGATCAGTCCATAATATTCCATAATTGGTGACTAAGATGGAGGAGATGCGAAGGGACTCGAAAGACGCGTCTAAAGTCAAATTTCCTCCCAAAAAACCCTCATGTAAAGCCTTTAAATAGATCCCCGACTTAGAGCGAAACCAACCTCGATGAGGAAACCGGTGACAAAGTGCCAATTCTTTGTTTTTTATGCTGATTTATAGGACTTTTTGGGGATCTTGTTTTGACTGATGTTCCCCAGAAACTCAATCCCATGTTTGGCTAGTTCTCTAGTTGCATAGGTTTGAAAACCCTAAAGTTTCTTTGACTATGTAACATTTGATTTTGGCATATATATGTTGAGTTTATTTCTTCTATATTTATGCTTGATTATTTGTTTCGTTAATTGTTTATGTGATTGTGTACATAAGACGAGGACTATCTTCAAATGATACATCCTCAAACAACACTTCGTAGGTGGATGAGACTTGGCACGTGAGTCCCTCACGATCGATCATCAATCGATCAAATATTGTCAACTTTCTCAATAGAGATATTCGTAGGGTCTAATATTGTTGCCTAGTAGACCTGGCATTTGCCATGATATATGGTAGGAATAGAACTAACAAAGATCAAGCATCTCATAAGCCAGGATCAAGGTTGGAAGTCAAAGGAACTCTACCCGAAGCTTGCTTATGCAATGGTGATGTACGAATTGTAGATCGAAGTAATAAATCCTAGGGGATGCCTAGTATCGTATTCCAAGATGTATTCTAATGCATTACTACCCACACCAACCATCTATGAAAACAAGAAAGACGTTTAGGGGTTTTCATTTAAGCAGCAAACAAGGAAAAGTAAAGCATGAAGAGTAAAGTCGTTCATGTGATTTTCGATTTATGGACGCATAAAGGTAAGGATATGTTATTGTATAAGAGAGAAAACTCGAGGATTATCAAGCATACTAGGCTCAATCACAACATGCATCAATGATTCATCTATATTATCACTATATCCCTTCCAAGCTAGTCTCTATTCGTGCATGCGCCTCATGTGATAGAAATTTATCTACCTAATGTGTGATTTTGCTTCATTCAATCACCTACTTAATGAAGAGCAAGGAAGTTAGGATAGCACATGATTAATTTTTGACTTCTACAGACAAGTCCCTTTGGGATTCTGTGACAACATATAAGCCACCCTTCATGAGTGGGGATTCATACTCCAGCAGGCTGGCGGACCACTTCCTACTGCTTGTGCAACACTTCGGCCTTGTCTCCTAGAATTGCTTCCCAATTGAAGAGGTTCACATGCTCTCTAGGCATGTGACCTACTCATTTTCCACTCCATCGAGGATGGGTTTTGTTTTCATCTAGGGTGGTTGGTAGCCCAGATGTTCGATATGCTCTCGAGCAAGAATGGCAACGCCTCCTACGCCCCTTGGACGACGGACGGGAAGCCACGCATCAAGATCCTCATGTAGCCACGACGTCTTCCGCCTATTCTATGGGACTTTTCTACTCGAGCCGAAGGTGCCTCCACCTCTTTGGCACAGTCGCCTTTCCTGCAGACGCACCAGTTTCTAGCTAATGTCTTCGAGACTATCTTTAAGCTTCATCACTATTACATTGATTCGAGGTTAGACTATACACTTTTACACCCTGTTACTTGTGTCATTTTGCTCAATATCCTTAATCCTCGGAGCTATTTTATACTAGGTGTGTTTGTGTTGTATCATATTTCATATCTAACCAAGTAAAATTGGCACCGGGATCGAAAGTCGGATGAAAGAGGGCAAGAATAGAGCAAAATAGGCAAAGAAGGAAATAGGGGTAACCTTGTAGCCCAATCTTGGCAATATGGGTAACCTTCTCTAGGGAAATTTGGGCAATTCCTCATTCATCGAATTAGTGTCATGATATCGTCTTGATTGGTTACTTTTTGTCGTTTCGGATTAACGTTTGAGGTATTTGTTTTGCGAACCTTGGTTGATCGATTAAGAGGTCTAGGGGTTCCCTAGCTAATAGTGACAATCCTTAGTCGATCAATTGAGAGGTATAGGGGTTCCTAGCTAATTTCAAACTCCTCATGGTGTATGATCATCCCTATCACACTAGAGCTTCATTCGTTGTATCTTGACACGAGACTAGGGGGAGCCATGTCAGAGTGATGCTTTCTCACATCGTAGTCACCAAAGTTTAATTACTTGGTTGTTTTAATTCTAGTTTCCTTAGCTTTAACCACAATTAGATCGCTTGATATCGTGGAAAAAATTTAAGTAAGGGTATATAGACTGCCCAGGTTGATATTGACATACTTACCCCATCCTACATCCTTTATAGGTTGCACTTGGCCTGTAGTTGGGATTATGAGTAGTGCTAGTGCGAGTCATACATTGATAATGGGATTCAGGTGCATAGATCCAGGGATTACATGGAGTCCCAATTCAACTTTGTACACATGAGAGTCGATACTACCACCATGATGTTTCATGAGCAATGCGAGATGTGGCAAAGTTTGAGCTTTCTTTGATGCTTATAATACCTTCTTCAAGGGCCACCAGCCAATATCTCGAAAGGCTCATGGTCACGGTGGTCAAATATCATGATATGGATGACTCCCCCAGTGAGGATATTTAATTTTTTGTGTTGTGGTGATGTATTTAACTATCTATGTTATGAAGAGCACTTGCACTTGCACCCTCTATTTTCCTCTCTAGTCCAATGAGGAAATTGTCATATTTACAGTTTGGGAGGATTTAGTAGATTGTGTTTCTCATTTAATTGCCATTATAAGTATCTTTATATCCAGACATATGGAGGACGATTGTGTGTGCATTGAGCATCATAAAAATTTCAAAATTTTTGTATGATGCCACACTCTTGAAAGCAATTCCTCACTCATCTTACTTTGGTCTCTGCGTTAATACATGATATAGGGAGGCTAGTGTAGCTTCTATGAAGGATGACCTCGTCCTGAAAATAGAGACCATTCAAAATTTTCGATAAACTGCTTAGCACATCCTTTGTTATTTCTCATAATCCTCCATGTGATTCTTCTTCTCATAAAATCTTAATGTGGTCGAATTGAATATTTATACATTAAAAAAGCCGACCAGAAAAAATTATATAAAATACGATGCTTTTACAAATTAAGTGTATGGTAAAAGCCAGGTGTGAGGCAATCACTCATTGCACAAAGAAAATAGGAGTGGTTCAACTGAGCACCATTTAGGACAGTATGATGTTGCTTATCTAGTACAATCCCTCGCCAAGTGAAGTGTCGTTTGAGAATTGTGTTGGGAGTACACAGATAAATCTTTTGACACCCGTTTATTGCATTGCCTCTCCATATGGATCAAGGAAAATTAGTTAAACAACACATTTGTTCTAGTACTAAGGTGCAGAAATTGATCTTGCAAGATTGAGGTTGTGATGTACTGTTGTGCAACTATCCTTGAGACCCTCGAGTTGAGTTAGGAGCATATGATCGATAGGGATAAGCCAGATTGTCCTTACTAGATATGCACCTCAGTGATGTGGTCTGGTTCTTAAGTGTGAGGGTTGGCCTTATAGCTACTTATGATCCACTACCTACGATCGAAAGTCACTTGTCATCGTAGATGTCCAGTGAGTTGTATGATAATAAGTGAGGTATGCTTGGGGACAAGCAAAGTTCAAGTGTGTCGGTTATTTGATGACACATAGAAAGTACTATTTTAGAAACCCCCCCCCCCCCCTATTTTTTAGAATCCCTAATGTAAAGTCCATAAATAGACCCCTAGGGGTAGAAGATCAATAACCAGTTATAGGAGGCATTAGAGGGTCGTTACTCTGCTGATAGAGTGCCTCATCGACTTAGAGCGAAACCGAACTTGAAGGGTAAATCATCTCCAAAAATGGCGCTAGAGCCATCAATTCTCTATTCTAAATGCTTATTTATAGGGTTTTTTAGGATTCTGTTTCAGCATTCTTAACATTTATGTTAGGGCAAATACAATATAATAGCCAAACCATTCATTTTAAACAAAATAATAGCCAAACCGTCAACTTTCTATCCGATAAACTGTTAATTGACTCTGACATGTCACTTTTATCGTTTCGTTGAATGTCAATTGTTAACATGACAAAGAGTCAACCATTTGACTATTTCACATGGATATTTATTAATTTATATAATTATTATTTTGAAAAAAAACAAAATAAAAAAACAAAAATATAAAGCAACCTTCTCCCTCCCACAAATACCCTAAAGAGTGTAGATCAACGAATTGGTAATATTGCAAGTGTAATCTCATTACTGCCAGAAAATCAACCCAACCATATCTTTCCTGTAAGTGTCAGGAAAGCGGTATGGAGAAAACATATTGAATACGTAATTAATCACTCTCCTTACATTGTTATTTGTCCCACTATAAAATTGGTGGTAGGAATTAGACAAATCACCCAAAGGAGTCCCTTAAATCAAAGTCCGAAAGCAACAATCTTTCTGGACTTCTGTGTTTGTGTTCTTTAGTAGAAAAACGGGAAGAAGAAGATGATGAACGTTGGAATTCTATCTTCTAGCCAACGTCTTTTTTATTGTGAGAAACATCAGTTCCCTTCTCAAAGTTTATGTCGTTTCACAAAACTCAAACTTAATTAATTATTCAAAATTAATTAATAAAATAAAAGTAGGTAGTTAGACTATAAATCACTTACACTTTCCTTCTCCCACCAATGTGGTACTTTACTCTTTGTTGAATACTCTAACATTAAGTCATCGACGCACTGGTTTCCCTCTGCCACCCCAAATTGGATGAGATCGGCCTCGTTTCACACACACAGCCCGTTGCACGATCTGATTTAACCTGCTGCAACAAGACCCCTCAATCCAATCGAAGAAAAAACCCATATCGTTCGTGGGGGGTGGGAGCCTATGAACGCCAACGCCGGCTGGCCCAAATCCAGAGTGGAGGCGAGCGATGCCAGTGAGTGGGGGGAATCTCGCTCTCTATTTAGGCCATCTCTGTTTCGTGCCAAAGAGCCTTGGTTGTCGCCGTCTCGTAGCCCAAATTGTCGCAGCCTCATCGCCCAGATCATGAACAGAGTTGGAGAAGAGGTTCACAACTCAAACCCTAGTTGGAGAAGAGCTTTGCGAGGGCTCACAAAATTGGCGATGAAGCTGGACGCTTGCTAGGACGTCTAAGCTCGTCGGGTCGAGCTGACTTGCCTCACCGAGTTAGAGACTCTCTAATGTCGAGTTAATTTGAATGGTTTTGGATTGAATTGTGGAGGGAATCATATGTAAGGAGTTATTTCGAAAGAGACAAGGGGGAGGGATAAGAGGAAGGATCTCTTTCCAATTTGGCAAAGGGAGAAGGTTACTTCATATTTTTGTTTATTCTTTAATTTATTTTATGAAAATAATAATTATATAAATTAATAAATATTCATGTGAAACTGTTAAATGGTTGATTTTTAGTCATGTCACCAATCAACTTTCAACTCAGTCATAAAATTGCTAAATCATAGTCAACTAACAGTTGACCAAACAGTTGAAGATTTAACTATTGTATTGTTTTGAAAAAATTGGCTAGGGGAATTCTATAGTGTAGTGTCTGTACTAATGCCGTCACTTTTCTACCGATTATAGCCGGTTTTTTGCTTCCCTTCCCGGCCAAGTGATACGGAAACAAAAAAATATATATATTCTCATTTTTCTTTAGATAAAAATCATGTTAAATTCATGTTTTTTTTACTTTTGTTCCATTATTTTTTCTCAATTTAGACCCCATAAAAAATGCATATTTTGGTGGGAAACCGAAAATTTAAATATGATTAAGTTTTAAAATATTTTTATCATGTATTAAAATTTTTAAGTTTATATTATCAATAGCAGAGCTAAAAATTTAAACGTAAGCTAAAAAAAATATAAATTTAACATATTTGGACCGTGTTAACTTGGAGAGGCAGTAATATTTTACTAATTACTCTATTTCTCTAAAATTTTATAAATTTTACATGTACTTTTACTTACACTTATAACTAGGGGTGGACTCGTGACGTGGGTGTTAATCCACAGTTTGACATCGATCCACCCGAAAATAATCAGAACAAATGATATCAGAACAAATTATATTATTAATTGTAGTAAAATTCTTTTGAGTAAAATATGTTTACTGTAAAATTATGTTATATAAGTTTTAAAATATCTTTTACATGAGTGTTGGGGTCATATGTAGGGATGAGATATTGGCGGGTTGGATGGGTTTGGTCTCAACCCGCTTACTAAGTTATTATCGAGTTGGTATAATTATGACCTGCTATCTACCTAAATTTGTATTCGGGTACGTTGGGGTGGCGGATGGGTGCGGTTGATTTGTGGGTTAACTTGCAAAAGCAATATTTTAACTACCAATTAATCAAGTAAATTAACATTCATAGTAAATTCCTCGCAAATCATAAGATAGCAACAATCTAGACACTTCTCATTTGTTTCTTTCGGATCTATGTAGTATTCGCATCAAATTTTTCATTACTTCATCAACCAATTGTGCAGAGAAAGCTGACACATTTTTCAACTTTGTATAATTAATAGTTTATAATTTGCATCACAATATCTAATGGACATTACACAACATACTCACAAATAATAGTAGTCCAAAATATTCTTTATTCTCACTTTATAAGTAGATTGTCAGTGTGTAAGGCGGTTAGAAAATATGATGAATATATGATAGCACAAGAAACAACCTTTTGTTTTGTGAAGATATAGTGCGAGTCATTCGGGTGATCTCCAATCCACCCAACACCCACCTGAATCAGTGTGGATAAGAAACTTATCAATCCGCAATCCATCCACATCAACCACAGACTCACTCCGGTTCTGATTATTTTCAGATGGTCGATGTCAAACTGCGGATTAACACCCACGTCACGTGTCCACCTCTAGTTATAACTTATAAGTGTCGGTAAAAGTACATGTAAATTTTTTTTTTATAGAAATAGAGTAATTAGTAAAATATTACGGCTTCTTCAGTTAACACGGTCCAAATATGTTAATTTATACTTTTTATTTTTCGTTCAAATTTCTAGCTCCGCCATTGATAATATAAACTTAAACTTTTTAATATACGGTAAGGGTAAATACAATTTAATATCCAAACCTTTAATCTTAAACAATATAATAGCCAAACCTTTTCGAAAACAATCTAATATCCAAATCGTCAACTTTATGTTCGTTTGACCGTTAGTTGACACTCCAAAAAAGCTTTGTTTAGGGGAAATTGTTACAATACAACTTTGTTTCTTGTTTTGGCATTGCTATTGACTGGATATTTAGATATTCTATACCATCATGGTGGAGTCATGGACTTCTCAGGATTGGAACTACGATATATTGGTGGTTTTTCAGAGAAGATATCGATGGATATTGATGAAGTGTCGTACTTCAACTTTTTTGAACTGTCAACTAACGGTCAAACAGACAGAAAGTTGACGATTTGGATATTAGATTGTTTTCGAAAAGGTTTGGCTATTATGTTGTTTAAAATAAAAGGTTTGGATATTAAATTGTATTTACCCTTATTTTAAAACTAACTCATATTTAACTTTGAGGTTTCTGACCAAAATGTGCATTTGTTATTTTTTACTGGATCTAAATTGAGTGGGGAAAATGGAACAAAAGAAACAAAAAAGATAACATGATTCTGAACTAAAGAAAATGAGATTTTTTGGGTTAATTGCAAGGATGGTCACTGGGTTTACTAAAACCGTTCATGTGTGGTCACTGTAAATATTTAATTTCATTCATGGTCACTAAGATTAGTTCAATAGTTCAAGTTTGGTCACTCTCCGTTAGTCTCTGTTAGTTTTTGCTGATGTGGCAGTCAACTATTATAGTTGACCGTTAAATGAGTGACGTGGCCATTAAAAAAATAATAAAATAATAAAATTTAAATATTGTCAATTTCCACCTTATTTTATAACTATTAAAAAATAAAAATAAAACTTACCTCTGTCATCTACGCCACCGTGGCCATGACGCGATCGTCTCCGTCGCCGCTCCATCCTCAACGCCGGCCTCGCAACAGCTGCACAACCTGCTTAGTAGCCAATCGGAGCTCCCTTTTCGCTGGTCCAGGCGAATTCTTCAGATCACTCACCTGAAAGATCGTGGCAACACCGCCGGGCGTGAAATCCAGATTCCGAATGCTCTTCTCCAAGAACTGAATCCGCCACCGCAAGAACTTAGTCCGCTTCTCCTCGTCGGAGAACGTCTTTTCATACAATTCCTTGTTCAGGAACTCGCCAAACACGTTGTAGCACACCGGGTGGCAGTCTCGGTCGTGGTCGTGCATAAACACGACTTTTTCCAGATCGTCGCCGAGATCTTCCTCCACGAGCTCGTCGATTTCGAATTCCTTCCTCCACTGGATCGTGTTCTTCAGCATCGTGAACGCTTCCTTCACTTTGAAATCCCTAGCTCTCAAGAACTTCAGCAGAACGACGTCGCTTATGTCGTCTTCCAGCAGCGGAATCCCCCAAATTGACACCTCAACCGACGAGGAAGAGGAAGCAGTAGTTGCCGCAGGCTCTTCTTCCTTTGCTGGAGTAGCTTCTTCTTCTAGCTTTTCAGCGGCCGGTGGAGTAATCTCTGTGCTGACATCGGAGCTTTGATCTTCAGATTTTTGAGCTTCCGTAGCTGCAGCGGTGGTAGCGGCGGAAGAGAAAGTTCGAATCTCCTCCTTTGGCGGCGGCGGAGGAGGAGGAGAGGTGAAGGAGCGAGAGTCCAGAGCTTCTTGGACCAGCTGCTTGAACTCATCGAGAGCCTTCCTCTCCGAATCGGACAGATCAGAGACTCGATTGCTCTCTTCCTTGAACGAGATCAGAGACTCCGGAACCTTCAATTTCTCCTTCTTCTCCGGCTCGCCGGTGAACTCCTCTTTGATTACCACCAATTTCGCTACCACTTCGGCTTTCACCGGCCTCGCTTTGCATTGAGGAAGGAGCGGCGGCAGAGACGATCGCGTCATGGCCACGATGGCGTAGATGGCTTTTATTTTTATTTTTTAATAGTTGTAAAATGAGGTGGAAATTGTAAATATTAAAAAAAAATTTTATTTTTTTTAATGGCCACGTCACTCATTTAACGGTCAACTATAATAGTTAACTGCCACATCAGCAAAAACTAACGGAGACTAACGGAGAGTGACCAAACTTGAACTATTGAACTAATCTTAGTGACCATGAATGAAATTAAATATTTGCAGTGACCAAACATGAACTGTTTTAGTAAACCCAGTGACCATCCTTGCAATTAACCCGATTTTTTTTTGTTCCGTAACACTGGCCGGGAAGGGAAATCAAAGACCGGCTATGCCTTTAATAGGTAGAAAAGTGACAGCATTCGTACAGGTACGGTACTATAAAATTCCCCAATTGGCTATTGTTTAAAATAAAGATTTGACTATGGATTTACTCTAATAAAAACGTTAAGAATGTTGAAGCTTTTCATTTTGATTAAACCAATGACTCATCATCAATACATATAAACAAAAAGCGTGAGATGTGAACAGCCAAGCCAAGAGAGCTAGTAGACCTAGCAAATCAGGATCCGATCCGAACCCGCCCGAAAAATAAAATATGAGTTGAGGTTTTTATAACTCGAAATCCGAATGATCCGAACCCGATTAAATCGTAGTTTTTGGGTCGGGTTGGGTTGGTGTGTGGGTCAACCTGCTAGACCCATTCCATTGCATGTCATAAGGATTTGAAATACAACTTTGGAGTGCAGTGATAATCAAACATCATTAGTTTATTGTAGTAGTATTACTTTCGTGATTGTTTTTTTTTTTTTTTTGACGATTTGTGCATTGGTATTTCTTTTTATTAACATGGAAGGAGTTGAGCATTTGTTAATTGACATGTGCTAGGTAAACTACTGTCATACATATGAAAAATTTTGCATTCGTTAAAATTTTATGAAAAGCATGTTTGATATTGTTTCTGAGAACATTCGTAATCTGAAATGACCCGAAACCCAACCCAAACCCGATGGATTGGGTCAATATTGATTTGAAATCAGCCTACCCAAGATGACCCGACCCATGACAACCCAACCCGAGATTCCCAGCCCAACCCGATTGCCAAGTCTAAGAGCCAGGGAAAGAACAGAATGCATATGAGAGAACCATAGCTTTCACAAGTAAATCTTATAGTAACAGTAGTGCATAGCAAGAGAAGACTTGATAACTGCAGGCTATGAGGCACCCCCTCAGCAACCTAAGTAGTAGAATGGATGGTTCAGCACTTCTCCACCTTCAACTCACCCCTCCACAAACAACCAGTTACAGATTAGCCCGTAGACATACAACTACAAGAAATGCACTCAGACACAAAGAGGTTCTATGGATCACAAAATAACAAAATGTAGCCAATGTCAGTATGCAGCTTCGAATGAACAAAAAAAGACTTTAGATCAGCAGATCAAACTCTGAAACTCCGTATCATAAAACTCTCCACTCATCACCAAAATATAAACATTTCACCCCCATTAGATGCAAATCCTGAATGGCAACAAGCCACTCTGGGATGATCCTGTATAGGTCCCCCTTCAGTTTGCACGGCTCTTGAACACGTCAAGCCCCATCTCCGTAGGATCAGTTGCTTGCAACTCTACCTGAATTCCATCGAGCTCTCTCTTGAACCTGTCTTTCGAGCTCGCGTAAATCATCTTGCTTCTCACCCTCGCTGTGTCAGGAGACCTTGCAGGGCACCACCACAACAGATGTGTGTAATCAGCACACGAAAAAACTAGAAATTTGACAGGATAAATGACTGATGACGGGAATGTGTGAACTTAAGAAGAAAATAGACTCCAATAGTTACCATGCAATGAAAAATATCCTGCTCTTCTGGCAGTTCTCCACCGTGACAAAGTCAAAATCATAAACAGCATAGCGGCACTCATCAGCAGGGATGCTAGCAGCAAAATCCTCGTAGCTTTGACTTGGATCACCAAGCTTCTCCACAATAACTTGCTTTTGCTTCTCCTCGATCTTGAAAATTATGGAGCGATAGGTTCTTTTTGCCTTAAGCTCCAAGAATTTCAATTTGCAGTCGTCGTGGACTGCCATCCCAGATGCTGCATTTGCCTAAAAGGTAACATGAACATACAGTCCTTCATGGTCAATACTAAGTCAAAGTCTGCTAAGCCAGTTTCCCCATAACACTGCACCACGAGTCAAGCTGCTATTTTCAGCACAAGTTATTTTACGGCTACTGATCAGATTCATTGATTAATTGTCAAATCCAATTCGAAGAGAAAACGGTTCTAATATACTGACAATCCCTACATTGATACTACCAATAAACGCCACCAAGAAACTGAAACAGAAGCAATCATCATCGATCCAGCTCGACAAACACTAGTACAGCCACCTAAATTACACACTAAATGAGCATTCGATCCATTTAGCTAATACAACAGCAAATCGTGTCATTTGAAATGAGAGTAATCTAGCAAAAATCTAAATTGAATTCATGATTCAGCACAACTTCCGTAGCATCTACGCCAACTTTGACGGGAGAGGAGCAAATCAGATCTCTACAGTCCACACAATAGATTAGGATCAGCTCACTGAAGAAACGGCAGGGAGCGGCATAAATGACGAAGTTTGGGCGAAATTCAGGTTCGGGACAGCCAGATCGAGCACAGATCGAAAGAAATATTCCCTAACTGAAGCACGGCCTCGCAGAGAGATTCATAATCCAGCAGAAATCGAAGATGAATAATAACCCTAGGAAAGCAGAGCTGAAATCGTAGAACAAAAAAGAACATGAAGGTGGGGAAAGAACAACTCACCATTATGTTCGATTCTTCTCAGGGAAGGAAAGCTGAACCTAGAGATATTGCAAGATGAGAGAATATAGAGAGAGCAGAAGCGAAGAAGAGCGTCTCCTTCGACGGAAAAGGGATGTGCACAGAAGTGGGGAACGGAGAGCGGGATCGCCTTTAATTAGGTGGCTCTGATTCGCCAGGAAATGATAAAGTGGCTGCTTTCGTATGTTTGCTTTATCCGGGGTGGTTTAAAAGTTGAGATTTTGAGGTATTTCCAATAAATGTAATGATATGATTAATTTTTTTTTTAATTTGAGTTAAAATGCATGTAATACCTTTTTCCTGACCCATTCACAATCACTCAAAATGAATGATTGTCAATCTCTACAAAAAGTAGAGATTGTTAACAAGGGATTGTCTACCCTATTTTTTGCTCCATCATTATCTTTCCAAATAAGATATTTACCTAATACATGCATTGAATCAATACATCAAATAATAATACATCAATTGATTAAATGCATCTATTTGGAGAATCTCAACTTCCAAACATGACTATAAAGTGCATAATTAAATTTGGGTACTTCATTTTCCTTTGAAGTTGGTTCATATTTAAGGATTGAGTAACTAACAATTTTTATCTTCTTTACATTTTTTATTGGATTTCAAACTTTTTTCAAAGATGGAACTATTTCGTTATACTCTACAAGGCTACAATGATTTTTTAGCGACTATTTTAACTCTTCTTTGTGGGTTTTAGGAGCGACCTAAATTGGTGGGAATTATTCAAAAAAATTTGTTTGTTATAGTAATTAAATTGAGTGTACATATATTGTTATGGGTGTTTTTTAAACCAACGAAAATCATTTCGTTGTAATTTTTGACCATTTGATTGCTATTTGTAGACAAAGAATTATGTTAAAATTTGGAACATTCATTCATTTCAACTAAAAACAAAAAGTATCTCTTAAATTGTTCAAAATCTTGGAAATTTGATTAACGAAGTTGATTCGGGCTTAATTGTAAACTTTTTATCCCTTTTTTCTTTGACATTTGTTGCAATTGAGCTCCAAAAGGGGTGGTTTTACGCTAGATTTCGGGTGTTTCGGATTCGAATAGGTGAAACCAACCCTGGAGTCAAAAGTTTGAAGAAAAGGAGCAAAGACCGGGCAAAGAGGAGGAATCAGCCTGTGTTCACGGTCTACCATTGGAGTTCACGGTCGCCAAGACCTGGAACCACGACCCATGAACCAAGAAGCGTCTAGAGGGGTTTCTGAGGTTACTGACGCCAAGGCTGTTCACGGTCGCTAAGACCGTGAACTGCAACCACAAACCATGAACCCAAGAAGTGAAGCGGTGCGTTTTGGTTCAGCACATTGTGTTCATGGACGCGTTTTGATGTTCACGACCGTGAACTTGGACTGTGAACTGGGCACGATCTCAGTATAAAGAGCTATCTGAAAGGAAGAAGGAGGGAGAGAACTAGTATGAGAAACTTCTTCTTCTTCATATTTTAAGAGTGAGAAAGTGACGAACCAAAGTAGAGGAGAAGCTAAGGTTTCATCTCCAAGCAAGGATTTGGGAATTCCTCCCCCAAAGGAGGATCTCTTCAGCACAAGGAGCAAGGCTAGCATCTTTTAAATGGTTTTCCTTCTTTTCCCCTGTGTTTTCCCTTCTCCTAGCATGGAGTAGTCCCTTCTTTCACTTGGGTGTTTGTAAACCCTAGCTACAATTATGTGAATGCTTGTATGAATTGAATGATTTGTGTGGTTGTGTTTAATGTGAATGTAGAGGTATTATTCATGAATGATTGTGTTGTGTGAAAGCCTATCAATCTAATTGTCATTCTAACCTAGGTAGAGAGAAACCCCCCTTCCTTTCTTTGAAAGAGGCTTGAATGTTGGGTTTTCTTGGGCAATTTGTTGTCTCCTAGTTAGGTTAACGCAGGGTAAATCTCCTATTTTGTATTAGATCCTAGGATTTGGTTGTGGGTGGCTGTCTGAACTCCAATTCGAGGATGAAGTCTAACCAATCCTTAGTCAATAGGTTGAGAGAGTCGCATTAGTGGCTTGGATCGTATCCCTTTCCTCGACCTAGAGACTAAGAGGGTAGCTTTGGCTACTTGGTAGACTTCCCTACGGTTTATAACCCCCTCACCACACACGGGAATTTGATCCATCAAGTCGTAATTGTTAGCTAGGGGGAGCAACACCCGGGTGAAGCCTTATCAATTAGTGTCCAAACCATTTCTCTTTACAAAGTACTTTAGCTTTAGATCTTTGTCTTCACCAAAACTATTCTCTTTGCGAAGTAGCGGTACATGGGCCGGCCCGGGTTGATATTTAAACATACTTGCCCTATATTGCACCCATCTAAGGTTTATACTTGGGCCTTAGGTGGAATTTGATTGTGATAGTCAGAGCGAATCAGAAGTTCATTTTGGTGTAACTTTCTTTCATTTCAACTAAAAACAAAGTATCTCCAAATTGTTCAAAATCTTGAAAATTTTGGTGAACGAAGTTCATTTTGGTGTACTTTTTTCCATTTCAACTCAATACAAAATTATCTAAAAAATTGTTGAAATTTTATCGGAATGTTCGTATAGAATTATCGTGAATGAATATATAAATTTAAAATTGAAAACATAAGTTAGGATACTAAATACGAAGCATGAAAGTGTTGCCCTCGGAGTTGCAACTGTTTTTTGTTTTTTAGAGGGCTAAAATGCCAATTTGGCCCTTTAACCCCCCCCCCCCCCATTATTTTGGTTGCAAGTGGCGGTTGGCCTTACCGTGTGCCTGACATGACTACTATTGGAGTTGTCAAAACCTAACTAGAACCGACTAACCCGCCTAATCAACCCGACTCGTAACACATTCGCAACCCGATTTGACTAAAAGTCAACAAGCCGTAACTCGACCAACTTGCAACACAACTGACCCATAACTCGATTGACCCGCAACCCAATTAGATAAAAAGTCAACAACTCGTAACTCGACCAACTGATTCGGGCCTAAATGTACACTTTTTATCCTCATTCTTCTTTGGCATTTGTGGAATTTGAGCTCCATAAGGGTCGTTTTACGCTAGGTTTGCTGTGTTTCAATGTGTTTCAGAGTCTAACAGGCAAGGTTGTCAACCCGCGGGTCGAGTCGACCCACGTTGACCCTGGCCCGGCGAGAAAAACGGGTCGCACGCACCCGCCAGGTCGACCGCTACAAGGTACCTGATTGGAGGTCAAATTGTGTCATTTTATTCTTTGGTTTGCGAAATGTGTCTATTTTCCGATTCTTCTTTTCGCCTAACTCAATCTTTGGAATTCTAAGTTGAACATTTGAATATTGATATTATATAAGTGTGTGTGAATTTTCACTATATGTTGGATCTAAGTACAACATGCTATTTTGGTGGAATATTATATATTATAACTTATATGTTAGATTGGATTTGATATAATTTATCAGGATAAGTACAATATAATGACTCTTCCATATTTGCGGGCTAAACCGGGCTAAAACAGGTGACCCATTAACCCTTGACCCACTAGCTCGACCGGGTCCGGGTCAGCCCGCGGGTTGACAACCTTGCCAACAGGTGTAACCAACCTCGGAATCAAAAGTTGGAAGAAATGGCGCGAGGACCGCGGAAAGGGGAGGAAACATCTGTTGTTCACGGTCCAAGCTGTGAGTTCACGATCTCCAGGACTGTGAACTGAAGCCACCAACCGCAAACTGAAGGGCGTCTAGAGAGGTTTCTGAAGAGTCAGTTCACGGTCGTAAGATCGTGAACTGAAGCCATTGACCGCGAACTCAACATATGAAAGCGGTGCGTTTTGGCTGTGTTCACGGTCCAGGCCAAATGTTCATGGCCGTGAACTGGGACCGTGAACTGAGCTCGATCAGTGTATAAAAGGATAGCTGAAAGGATGAAGAAGGGGAGCCCAAAGTGAGAGAAACCTTCTTCTTCTTGAAACCCTAGATAAAGAAAGTCACGAACCAAGAGGGAGAAGAGGCTAGGGTTTGCTCCTAGTCAAGAATTGGGAAGTTCCTCTTCAAGGGAGGATCTCTACAAGCACAAGGAAGGATTGAGGCATCACAATGATGGTTTGTTACCTTTTTCCTTTGTGTTCTTCCTTCTTCTAGCATGGAGTAGTCTCATATTCACTTTGATGTTGTAGAACCCTAACTTCTACCATGTAGTTGATTGTGTAGATTGAATGATTCTGTGTGGGTGATGTTTAATTTAAAGATTTGAGATATTGTTCATGATGATTATGCATTTTGTGTGCTTGGCAATCTATTGTGCTACCCTAACATAGTTTAGAATGAAGCCCCCTTTTCTTAAGAGGCTCAAATTGAGCTGGGTTTTCTTGGGCATTCCATGCCTCCTAACTAGGCTAATGTAAGACAAACCTCTAAACTCAAATTAGACATCTAGGTTAATTTTGATTAAGCCGTCAAACCCGGTTTGAGGGAGAAGGTAAGTTAACCTATTTTGCTTGGGCCAAGAGGGCTACTTTAGTAGCCTATAATGCATTCCTTAGCCTAATGATTGAGAGTGTGGTTTTCAACCACTGTTGCTCTTCCTACATTCGCAATCGCCTTCGCCCACCAATTCATTCGATCCCATACTTCATGGTAGTTAGTTAGGGGGAAACAACTCCCGAGTGAAGCTTCTCAACAAGAGTTTCAACCTCTTTTACTTTTCAAGCCTTTCACTTTTAATCATAGATTGTAGAGATTCAAGTTGTTCCTGGATTTGGAGGAATTGAAGTACAAATTGAAGTTGAGATGGCAGGGAATCAACATCGAGGTGCTAATCTGCTTCAGAACCAAAATGAGGAAGAGGAGGCCGAGGAAGAAACGAGAACTATGGGCTATTACATGGCCCCACGGGTGGCAGATATCCAATCTCCCATTCTACATCCACCTGTGGGTGCCAACAACTTTGAAATCAAGTCCGCTCTGGTCACGATGATTCAAAACAACGCCTGAATCACCACAAGAGCATGTTCAAAGGTTTCTTGAGCTTGCGGGAAGCCTGAAGATAAATGGCGTCCCCGAGGAGGCATTTAAACTGAGGCTATTCTCCTACTCTATTGAGAGGAAGGCGCTTTGATGGCTCAACAACTGACAGGCTCCATCCATCACCTCTTGGGATGATTTTCTCAACAAGTTTATGACCCGATATTGTCCCCCTTCCAAGACGGCCGAGTGGAGGAAG